TTATACATATATATACATATATATATATATATATATATATATATATTATTCTGTAATCACAAATATAATTTATTATTTATTGTTTTTGTGAAAGCACTACGTGCTATTTGAATGTTATCCGAAGTTCTTCCGCCTTTGCTGTTAGATTTTGGAATCACGTTTTGTTTGCAATTATTTAGTATATAAGAAGTAGTTAAGATTTAGTTAGGCAGTCAGAAATCAGGAGTCAGAAGTCAGAAGTCAGGAGTCAAGTCAGGCTTACTGTTTAGATACTTAAAAAATGTAGTCTCTGATCATCGATAACCAAAGGGTTATCGAACAAATTATTTAATTGTAAAAATAGTAAACAATAAAATATCAAGATCAGTGTTTCTATATTATCAACCGCTCAGCTCCAGCTAACAAACAACCTCACAATTACAGTTCATGGTGGCTTAGCGGAAAATTTCCCTCGCAGTGCTGAAGAATTTTCATCTGGGGACATCGAGTTAAATAGCCGCCACAATTCGATAAACCGGAGGACCATTCGCAGCACAACTTGGGGGATGGTGGCGCCTAACGAAGAAGTCAAATTTTGGAACAACAGAGGCTACGACTGGATTGAACATTAATTCATCGGATTTACAAAAAGCAAATTGGACAACATCACTCTCTCAAGATAGAACCCATTTCTTCAGGATTTATGCAAGATGTTGTGTATAGCAAAGCAATAAGAGAAATCAGAATCAATTTAGCTGTTGAAACTATACCTCAATTTGATGGTAATTCGTATAATCTCTTTTGGTATATAAGCATAATAGATTCAATTGTAGAAGACGTTAATTTTGAAACTTATGAAATAATATCTAAAATTGCTCTCAGTAGATTATATGGATCAGCATTTAATTGGATAAAGTGGTCTGATTATAAGTTATGGGACGATATTTAACCAATTTTAATTAATATATTTAAAGATCCCAGATCAATTACAGATTTACATTATGAACTAGCTACAGTGAAAAAAAGAAATGAGGAATCAACGGAGAAATTTGCTGAGAGAATTGATGATTTGCCAATGTTAATTTATATTGAATGTTATTTTTCAAAAAAGGAAACAATTTATGCCTCATATTGTGATTTAGCTCTAGCTGTTTTCATTGAAGGCCTCCAGTTGGAAATAAAAACTATTGTTAAAGGAGCCAAACCAAAAAATCTTGAGGATGCTAAGAATATTGCCATCAGAGAGGAAAAATACATAAATATCACCTATAGCAAACAATATAACCGCTACATTGTGTGTAGATATTGCAGAAAAAGGGGACACCACATTTCAAAATGTGAAAAAATTCGCCAAAAATCAATATATGAAGAAAAAACTAGTTTCAGACAAAATGGAATTTATGAAGATATTAACCAAGGCGAACACAACGATAGCTACGATGCTTTGAACTATAAAAATACTATGATTTTTGAAAATACAAGAAAATATGACGGCATAGACAACACATTCAAATCTACTGAAGAGGAATCCGAAGAATACACAGCCAAAAATCTGACTCAAAACACTGAAACCGAAGAATTGACGACAATTTCTGCAGAAATATTAGATGAAGATGATGAAGAGGCTAAATTTGAAGCAATTCAAGATGCGGTTCCAGAAATCGAAGAAATATACAACAAACAAGAAGATATCAGAATAATTAATGAAGAAGAAATAAAAACTGCTTCAGATAAAATAAAAAGGAAAAAGAAGAAGAAGCATATTAAAAGAAGTCGTATTAATGACAAAATTATAGAAAAAAGTACACAAGAGGTCAAGGAGCACAAAATACATGTTATCGAAAAATACCGCCACAATGGAAACTATCAAAAAATGATTTAGCAGCCACAACAGACGTGTTCAACGACAAGAATATAAATTTAATTAAAAATAAAGAATTTGCAAATTTACGAAGTCCGAGCAGCAAAAAGATGGTACCGTCGTCAACTCATAGTGAGAAGATAGACAAATTCAAATTTATGACATTACCACGATTACAAAAATTATATAATTATAAATACCGAAAGAAATACGAGGTCAACTGAAGTCAAGGCAAACGAAAACAGAACAGCTCGTATTGTTTAGTAAACATAAACATTATGCAGGTTATCGGGTTTCAAGGCAAATTCTCTCCAATTTCGATTAGTAAGCAAAATTTTGGAAACATAGTGATTTTGAAACAATATTATTTATAGATAGAAAAAAAATTTTCATCAACTTTGACTTAATTGTCTTTTTATTCGATTAATATTTTATTTCTGTTTTTTTTTCCTTTTTTTTATTAATGCCTTTATCGTCTTTATAATATTGTTTTACCTTCTATAAATAACTTATTACATTTCAGTAATATTTTTGCATAATCGAAGACCATTTATTGCAGTTGATTGCTGATTAAATTAAATTTTATAGGTATAGATGCTATTAAGTTATATACAAGTTAAAAATAATACACTGTAAGTAAAAAGTATATGTAATTTTATGCAATTTTTTTTTCTTCAATTAATTCAAGTTATTATAAAATGTTTTAATTGTTTTCTTTTTAGAGTCTAATTGTTTGTAAACGAAGTCTAACAGAAATAACACTTTTGAGGACAAAAGTTTTCTTAAGGGCGGAGGAAGAGATGGAACTATTTTTTTTTCAATTTTTTTTTTTTAGTGTTTTTCGAGGACGAAAAACCTTTGAAGGGGGAGGTTATTCTGTAATTACAAATATAATTTATTATTTATTGTTTTTGTGAAAGCACTACGTGCTATTTGAAAGTTATCCGAAGTTCTTCCGCCTTTGCTGTTAGATTTTGGAATCACGTTTTGTTTGCAATTATTTAGTATATAAGAAGTAGTTAAGATTTAGTTAGGCAGTCAGAAATCAGGAGTCAGAAGTCAGAAGTCAGAAGTCAAGTCAGGCTTACTGTTTAGATACTTAAAAAATGTAGTCTCTGATCATCGATAACCAAAGGGTTATCGAACAAATTATTTAATTGTAAAAATAGTAAACAATAAAATATCAAGATCAACCAAGAACCAGTGTTTCTATATTATCAACCGCTCATCTCCAGCCACCAAACAACCTCACAATTACAGTTCAATATATATATATATATATATATATATATATATATATATATATATATATATATATATATATATATATATATATGTATATATATATATTAACAAAGTCTAATAATCGGGCATAACATCAATAAAAAACATGAATTTCTTTCAAAAATTTATTTTAAATCGATACGTTTCGGGTATAATTTATACTTTAAAACACAATATGGACTTTTCTAACCGGACTGTACTACAATTCGAACAAAATTTATTCAAACTAAGAATTATAGAGGGATCTTTTTTAACTATTTATAACAATAAGACAATAAATAAACGGAATGAACTTAACACGCTGTGCGACACAAATCTCTTTTATTTAGCATTAACATTTCCAAATTTCTTACAAAACAATAAAAGCGTCGCGCAAAGGATTCGCAATTCGTTCCACACATTTGTATAATCTTGGTAAAAATATTTTTTAAAAATGTTTTTCTTCATTGTATCTTCAACCAGTCTACGAATAACACACTATCCATTTGTGATTTTTTAAAATTAGTATTTTGTAAAAATATTGTGTAATTTCAAGTTTAATGTTTATAATACATAGTGTAGTGCATTACCATATCCTGATACCATGGATTATTAAAATTTTCCAATTTAACACTAAGATTTACTGATTGTAAGTACTATTTACTATTTTATTTTTTCTTTTCACTCCAATTGAATTATTTTAGTTTTTAATTTTATTTTTAGTTTCCACTAAATGAAGGCTAGGATTATAGCCGAAACGTATGGATTTAGAATAAATTTTTGAAAGAAATTCATGTTTTTTTATTGATGTTATGCCCGATTATTAGACTTTGTTAATACATATGTCAACATCAAATTCTGAATCATACAATATATATATATATATATATATATATATATGTATATATATATATATATATATATATATGTATATGTCTTGATGATTTTGAAAAAATATTTTCCTCTAAAGGCCTAGGAGTGATATCTTGATGATTTTTTGTTCGACGTTGAAACATATTGAAATGAATAAAACAGCCAATGCGTCGAATGTAAACAATTCATTTTATTTTTTATACGTTTCGAGACTAGATGTGTCTCATCATTCAGCTAAAAGAAATTCACAATATAAAGAAAAAGTTTTAAAAAAATGAATTTATACAATGGAAAAATTAATTGAAAAAACAACGAATTATACACACCAGATCATGAAAAAACACACTTTACTTAAACATTTTACAACACCACAATCACATGACACTACTGTAGGAAAACAAAAATAATTTAAGAAAAGACCGAAAAAGGTAAATGTAAAATTGTATAAAATACATAATTATTTGTTTTCAAAAAATAGCATAGCAACACGAATGGACTAAGATTGCGTCGAGAGACGTTTAGACGGCTATGCGACCAACACGCGTGCATGTGGGAAAGGGATATCAGGCGCGTAGTATGGAGTCAGATTTACAGAAATTAATTATATTTTGATAACTTTCTGAGGGTAAGCTAGAAGAACTGCGTTTGTTAACACAATTTGAATTTAAAAAGATAAAACATGATTCGGAAAATCTTCTAAGGTCTACATTTTTTTCGTTATATAAAATTATAGGATTGTCAGTATTAAACGATTGTTTGAAATTAATAATGTGCTCAGAAAACATTGTTTTAAATTGTCTAGGGTTTTTTGAATTATAAATATGTTGATTCATTCTCTTGCTAATGTATTGGGAACTTTCATATATAATATTTCAATATAATATTTCAATAAAATAAATTGTTTACATTTGACGCATTGGCTGTTTTATTCATTTCAATATATATATATATATATATATATATATATATATATATATATATATATATATATATATATATATATATATGTATATGATCAACACACCTGGAACCCATAGAATAAGCATTTTCAAGGCAAAATAAAGCTGTTTCTTTTATCTGTGAAACAATAAGTGAGAGCGAAATATTTGGACATAGATCATAACCAGCGATTACAGTGCGTATTCCTGCACTAACCAAGGGTTGAACTGGGTAGCTTGACAAATCCCTGGATAACTCTTGCCAATAGCCTCCATGAATATAAATAAGCCATGGTGCATCTAAATAAAATGAATGAATTTAGAAATATACTAGTTAAGTTATTTTGAAATTTCATATTTTAAACATTAGAATCAGGAAAAAAGATAATACAAACAAAATCAATAGATGCGTGTGTCTGTGAGTACGTGAGCCAAATTCAAGATGATTATTATTGACTTAACGGATAATTGTGTTTACCTTTATGCCAAAGTTGTTTTAACTGATTTTGAATATTGAAAATTGCTCGAATTATATTAGTTGAGAATAGTGCTAATTTCACTTTTAGTAAAAATTGTAATTCTTTCTTGTCAGTACTAGAACGAACATCCTAAATTATTTTAGGGCTACGAAGAGTTATTAATTGTCAAATCTTCAATGAGTTTTAAAAGATGAAATAATAAGCTTCGCCCTTTGAAAACATATCATATATGTTGCGTTCAGTTTTGTACTGATTATCGTTAAAGACCAAAGGGTATGGGCGCTTTGGCATACATAATCGGCCCCACCCTGGTATTTAAATAATTTATACGCCATTTTAAAGGTCTTTTTGAAGAAAACCGATATACCAATTTTCAACTTTGTATCTCACCTTATGGCCGAGATTCATTGAAAATATGTGAAAGTGGCCCCTTTTTTCAAACTCACTTTTTGGCGTAACCATAAAAGATATGGAAAAAAAATTACGTGGTTCTATTCATATTGGCTTAGGCCACATTATGTAGAACAATCGATGCCAAATAATCAATTATTATTAGCTAAAAAAGATAAAATAATTTTTTAATTGATGTTTTCCGGTAGTGCGTTCAGTTGGACCACCTTCGTTATTCGAAATTAGCGTTATTCGAAAGCTTATTGTTTTTTCTTTTAGTACTGAAAATATTGTTCAAATCAATTTTGTGGAACACATTGAAAAATTGAAAAAACCGGAGCCAGTACACCCGCGCGTAACACTAATAGTCCTACAATTGCATGCAATTCGTTCGGACGCGAAGCAGTGCGCGATGCCCCCGAAACGATTCTTCAGAAATTCTGAATGCGAAAATATTTATTAAATAGTTATATATCTGTAAACACATAGATTTTGCAATTCTTAGGCATTATTCGTTATACTATGTTAATTAAAACACTGAAACTAGTGGTGTATGGCATCGTGCCTTAAGGGTCCGTAATAAAGTATTCGAAGAATATCAAATGCTTTCAAATATATTATTATAAATACTGTAACATTCATTATTCAAATTTATGAACAAAGTATAAGAGCTTATAAATTGGACTATGACGTCTGTATATGTTTGCCTGAAAAGTAAATGAACAAAACCCAATGAAGCGGAGTTATGATGAAGAATATTATCTAATATTTCTAAAAATTACATAAACTGAATGGAAAAGTTAAAATTATTTATCTGAAGAATATCAGAGATCTTTTTTACTAGAAAATTTTAGCTAGAATCAAAATTGAAATCCGAATTATTTTCGATATTAAAAAAATATGTTTTGAAATTAAAAAATTGTTTTTTTGCTATTTGCCCAAAATAATCTTGTCGTCCAAACAAGAAAAAGCTTTTTTCTCATTCAAATCAGATTCTTCGTTCTGTCAAAAACTCGATTTCTATCTTTACTCCGTATCTCCGAAAGGGCTGGATATGTCTTTGCCAAAAACTAATCGGTACGTCTCCCAATCGGTTGATCCGTGCGCCGGCAATCGTAAATAAATAATGGTATTTATACATTCGTACATAAATGGAACACAAATACACAGACACACACATAAATTTTTTATATTGTATTACAAAAATGTTGAGAAATCTTCGAAACGTGAAGATATGCAAAAATTTTCGATTTTTGAACGATTACAATAACTCACCCTATATATTGAAGAGACGTTAGTAATGAATTTACTAATTAATGATTAAATGTAACCAATTTTTAATAACTTCTTGAGTAGATTATAGTTTTATTTGGAATACTTAACGACGAGAATTGGAACATTTGTAGCTCTTCTGGAAGTGTGTGAAATCAAAGAATTTATTTAGATACAAAAATTTATTTAGCGCTTTATTATAATATTTTAGTTGTTGCTTGTTCAAGAGTTCAGGACTAACTTATATTTTTACATTTTTAAAATATTTCCAATATTTCTAGTTTTATGATAGCTCGCCGAAGGTACATGAGCTATCATAAACTTTTATTAAGGGTTGTCTGGCAGATGTACAAAATATTCGCAACATTTACCGTTACTTGGGAGTATACATCGTTCAAAGGAATTTACTTATGACTATTATTTATAATTATAAAGAACACAATTCTCAACACCTCCATCGTGAAAATTAAGCCGTCCTCGGCTTATTACATAACATTAGCGAATTTCAGGTTGTAATTTACTGGTACATTAATAACTAAAATCTTTATCTTAATAACTATGAGTTGATGCATAATGGATATAACAACTAAAGACATCAATTTTTATTTATATTTTAGTAAATCAAAACACTTAGCTAAACCTTAACATTAATATTATAAATTGGACTATTTTTTTTAAATTCTAGATTTACATTTACATTACATATTTTAGATTTAATTTATTTGTGAAAAGAAATATTATTTTTATTTAATCAATAAAATTTAATTGATAATTTGATTTATGTGATAATTAACATTATTCTATGAGATTTATCAAATTAATTAAATGCAATTCAATAATAAGATTTTTTTTTTTTTTTTAGAAAATTTGATAAAGATTATGTTACTTTACTCGTTTGGTATAAACTTTTTCAATTTGTTGTTGTGCACTTGTACATGTTTATTATGGATCAAAATGGTACTATTTATACTATCGGTTTTTAATATTTTAAAGGGACCTTTCCATAGGGGCAAAAGTTTTTTGCATCGCCGCGGATACGGAGTTTCATCTCTCAAAAGCACATACTCATCGATCTCAAAGGTTTCAGGATTCAAATTTTGATCATAATTACTTTTAGTTTTTTCTTTATTACTCAGTAAATTCTGTCGAGCGAAACTATTCGCGTGCGATAACCGCGATTTTAACTCATTAACGTAAGTGTCGTAGTTATATTGAAATATAGGTTTTGCTATAGACAGTGGTAATTCTATTTTCCTACCAAAAACTAACTCGAAAGGTGTGTAATTTGTCGCGTTATGTATAGTTGTATTATGGATAAAAACTGCGTATTTTATGCATTTGTCCCAATCTGTTTGGGTTTTGTTAATATAAGATCTCAAGTTTTGAATATAATCCCTGTGGATCCTTTCACATGAGCCATTCGACTCAGGTCTGTACGGGGAAGTTGTTATCTTTTTAATTTTTAGTAATTTGCAAACGTCCTTGAATAAATTGCTAGTAAACGTGGTGCCTTGATCAGATAGAATTTCCTTAGGAAAGCCGAATTTTAAAATAATTTCTGAAACGAATGCATTTGCGACTGTCGAACTTTCTTGGTTACAAATGGGGATCGCGCCTGCATATTTCGTTAAGTCGCATATAAATGTCAACAAATATTTATTTTCGGAGTCAGAAACGGGGTAAGGGCCGCAAATATCAATACAAATTTTTTCGAAAGGCTCGCGGGCTGTTGTTGTTATAACTAAAGGTTGCCTTGTTTTCTTACATACTTTATTTTTTTGACAATCAGGACATTTACTTACATATGATTTAATTTGTTTTCGCATTTTTGGCCATTTGTATATGCTACGTATTCTGCTGAATGTTTTTTTATGGCCCAGATGACCTCCCGTATATTGTGATCTATGAAATTGGTTTAAAATCTTACTTATCTCATCCGGTGTTAGGTTTTCAATAATTTTGTCATAATAAATTTTTAATTTTATGTCGGTGTTTCTGAAAATGTATCGTAATAAAATTCTAAAATTTTCTATTGGTATGTGGCAAAAACTTTGAAATTGTGCGGGAGCTGGAATAGCAATGGATTTAATATTTTCTTGAATTAAATGAGCTTTTAGATTTAAGAGGCAATGGAAAAAATCTTCAAGTGTTGGCTGGGAATTCATGTTATTTACAATTGAGTAGAAAATTTGTTTTTGAGAGTAGTTTAAGTTGAAAAAATCGTGTGTTCCGTAATTAGCCAAATTGTTATTAATGTTACTATGTTGGAAAAAATCGAAATATTTAGTTAATTTATCATCGGGAGTTTGGTTTTTTATCACGAATATCAACGCGGATTCTTCATGTTTTAGAGATGTGAGAAAAACTTCATTCGATTCCTCGATATTGTTATTAATTATAACCGAGGTTTTAATAGTATTTAAAAAATTTTCAAAATTAATTTCGGAATTAAAATTGCATCTGCATAGAAGAGATAATTTTGGTTTAGAATCGATAGGAATAGGTGAAGTATTTTCATTAGATGCTAATTCTTGAATATCAAACAATGAGCGAGATAAACTATCGGCATTCGTATTAGATGATCCAGATTTATAAATTATATCGAATTCATATTCTTCTAAAAAAAGCCTCCAGCGCATTTGCCGTGAATTTGGATCTTTACATTTGTACAAGTAAATAAGGGGCATGTGATCGGTGTACAGTTTGAATGGTTTACCATAAAGGTAAGGTCGGAAATGTTTTATGCTCCATACGATTGCTAAAAGTTCTTTGTCTATAGTAGAATAATTTTTTTCTGCGGGGTGCAAGGTTCGCGATGCATATGCAATTGGTAATTCTTTTCCTTCGACATTTTGAGATAGAACCGCGCCTAATGCAAAACCGCTTGCGTCCGTGGTTAATGAAAATTCTCGATCGAAGTCGGGATACTGGAGTAAAGGTGGATTTATTAGTTTTTGTTTAAGTTCATTAAATGCAAGTTCACACTCTTGGGTCCAATTAAATTTTGCGTCCTTTTTTAATAATTCGGTTAGAGGTAATGCAATTCGAGAGTAATTTTGTATAAATTTGCGGTAGTAACCGGACAATCCTAAAAATATTTTTATTTCTTTTTGATTGGAAGGAGTGGGAAAGTTTTTTACTGAGGAAATTTTATCAGAC